CTAACAAAACAGGTAAGGGGATACTATCATTGGTGTTTCCGAGACTTCTACTCTTGACATTGACACTATTAACGTTATCAGGGATTAATGTGCAATTGTTTATCGCAGCTATCAAGTTTTCCAAATATTTTAAGCATACAAACTGTACAAATGTGACAGCGCCATGAAGGAACATCATTGGACAAAAATATCGTTCATTTTCCCCTGGCATTCTTACTCCGCATTTTTTTTACTCCGTAAGCTTGATTACTTTCTCAGGATCGACATGTTTGTGCGGCTAACTAATGACTCTACAAACAGCTCCAAATTTCTTTACTCCCAACATTTAAATCTTATATAACAAGAGATATATAACAAACTATACATCCGATTTACCAGGAAGTTTTCTGTCTGAACTCATTGATTGATTTGTGGGGTTTAACGTCCCAAAACTACCATATGATTATGTGAGACGCCGTAGTGGAGGGCTCCGGAAATTTCGACCACCTGGGGTTCTTTAACGTGCGCCCAAATATGAGCCCACGGGCCTACACCATTTCCGCCTCCATCGGAAATGCAGCCACCACAGCCTTCTGCTCGAACTCAGTAGAGTTCAATAAATGTCTGTGTTAACATAGCCACCTTAAAAATTACAATATAAATAGTAGTGCTCTGCCCGTCTCCACAACACGAAAGCGTGCTCTTCAGCTTTACTTCCTTCGCCGTAAATGTACGGCTTCTAATTAAGAACCGAGCGGGTCTGGTAGCCAAGCCGTCATGCTCTCATACTGCGGGGAGCAGCTGCCTTTCGAGAAAGCGCTAACGAGCAGAAGCGATCTCTTGTGAGACGTGAACAGAGTGCTACGAGATAGGAACCCAGGAGGTGAAAGAGGTTCCGACGCTAGATCCCTTGGCAAATCGTCGGGACGGCTTCTCAAAAGCACGTGCTAAGCCTCCTTCTGCCGTAGTTGAACGTTCTTTTTTATTCTGATTGTATTAGTTCATTTCCCACGAAAGCTCTGTGACAAGAAAACAAGCCGAACAACGAATGTGTCTCGATCTTTTATTGTATCGCTGTCCAGGGTACGTCGGTTGTATGAGTGCGTCGACGTCATTGCTCCATGCCTGTGAGGTGCAAAAGCAATAGTTCAACCTTAATGAATCCAGGACTAAATGTGTTCTGTTTCACGCGCACGGTCTACGGAAATAGCATCTGGATGCATAATACTCCGTCGTTACCAACTCACCATTGAAAAACATGGGAAACTGCACGGAGTGTATATATATATATATATATATATATATATATATATATATATATATATATATATATATATATATTTATATATATATATGTATATATATATATATATATACACATAAATATATATATATATATATATACACATAAATATATATATATATATATATATATACACATAAATATATATATATATATATATATATATATACACATAAATATATATATATAACACGTCTTAAAATTAGCGCAATAAAAACGTACAAAATAAGTAAACTTTCTGGCATCTGCAGCATCACTACTGCTGGGCGTGAAACCTCACCCTCTTGTTCGACAACATACTTGTGGTAAAAGCGTCTTATATATATAGGGCCAGCGCCACCACGGTTATGATATAGAATGGCCCCCAGTGCTTCTCTACACATGTACTCTACCCCACGTTCGTTTCCTCATTGTCACCTAACATCGCTCTTCTTCATCCTCACTTGTCTTTCCCGCATCCTTGCCATTCTTGAAATGCGTGCGCGTAATTTAAGCAAGGGCTCAGGAAGAAAAGTACAAGGGCAAACTACAAAATGGAGGTTTAATTGAAAGCGCTGACATATACATACCGGCAGATAAACACCTTTCTAAGTTCCTGTTTCAGTTCTGCGCTTGAATTTAATGTATCATGGAACACCAACTCCCCATGCAGTACGATAGTTACTCATTTTATATTTGTATGTCTGCTCTGTACATGCGTTTAAGTGCATGACGCCATACTTGACTATGCCATACTATACCTTTTCACGTCCTAATTTTCCTCCTCCTCACCCCTACCCTATTCCATATCTACACCATACCCTACAAAGCATAGTTTTACCGGCGTGACGCCACACATAACTATGCTATGTGCTTTGCCGTCTCTCTTCCTCCTTCTCCTTTTAACCATCCCAACACACTTCACCCTCACCTATCTTCCCTGTGCCGTTGATGCTACACCTTGATGCGTTATGAATGGTTTTGCCTAATTGGCGACAATCGACGAAAAGCGACAGCATACGACGGCCGGAAACATTATTGTGTTCCGCACTTTGTACACCCATTTACACAACACATTCTAATACACAGCTTTTCAACTTCCCAAGAATGGAGGTGAAAACAGAGTCTGCTTGTCAGCAGTCAGATATACACCGAGCATCCATAATGACGTCCGATTGCTTTACGTCAGTCACGGATGCAAGCCGCGTTCCACTACCAGCGTCTGTTACATTAACCTTGCACAAGCTTCCCTCCATCATAAGGTCAGGGGACATAGTCATGGTTTCATTATCAGTGTCATCATCGTCACCAGCCTGACTACGCCCACAGCATGGAAAAGGCATCCCTCATGTTCCGCCAATCAACCCGGTAGAGTGCTTTCTGGTGCGATGGCGTAGAGGTAGAGCACAAGTCCCGCATGCAACAAGTCCATGGTTCGAATCAGGAGGCCACACAGTTTCACACTGAAATAATAAATTCCGGGCGAAAATTGAATCGCATAAAGAAGACTGCGATGCGGCATCACCGGTGACCACTGTCAGTAATGCTCTTCTCCACCAGAACAGGATTGGTCACACTAATGCAGTGTTTCGCTAACAGTTCCTACGTGATACACTAAGTGCCAATGTGTTTGTCTCTAAATTGTCCAGACCAACAGCCTACTCTGAATACACTGCGTTTAGTTCATCCGGCTCTAGGCAAAGATTTTGCTTACTTTGCCCTTTCTTGGTGCTGATGTACCATAAAGCAGTATGTTGGGCAAGTTGGTTTCTAGCTTTCATATTCACAGCTCTAGGCGACACCACAGAAAAGAAGGAACACTAGACACACGCAGCGATGTAAACGTGGAAACAGTGATTCAGTCTTGAAGGGGTCCTGAAACACCTTTCCTTTGGTCATTAAAAATTATGCCACTGTTAGCGCATAAACGTTTACAAGTTACATTGCTCAAAAATCAAAAATTTTTAGAGCCTATCTAGTGTGAGACGGGCATGCTGACTATAATCAATTCCAATTTCATCTTTCAATTTGGTGCCAAATATACTAAACTGCGTGCAAATTTTATTCTAAAAAATAGGTATGCCATAAAGAGTATGTGGTACAACTTTGCAATAAAACAGCTGCGCTAATTTTAGTAAACTGTAATTAAGAAGTTTGTCTTAATTAGTTGTACCATTTTCAATTTAACTGCGACAAAGGTTTCCGCTCGACATGGAGTGCTTTTGCGAAAACGACATGAGCGGTACTGTCATAGTAGTTACTGCACAAAAAATCTGCTGCCTGAAATATATATGTGATCGCAGTGAGCTATTTGGATGCCGGAAAATAAGATGAATACGAATAAGACACACGTCAAAAACCGAAACGGTTTCTTTACATCTCGGCTTTCGTCCGAATAATAGAAGTGACAACGGTGATAGACAATATAAGCGCATAAGTTTTCATAACAATGATCACGTGAGCAGAGATATTATAAGGAGAAGTACAACAATCAAAAGTTAAATGTAACACTTGGGGCCACGTATTACATTCTGCTTCAAAGCAATTACTTCACAAGACCCTACCCATTCATCAGGATTACACATAACATTGCCATTGTCCTGCCAATCTCCCGGCGGCGGCGGCTGCATTTCCGATGGAGGCGGAAATGTTGTAGGCCCGTGTGCTCAGATTTGGGTGCACGTTAAAGAACCCCAGGTGGTCTAAATTTCCGGAGCCCTCCACTACGGCGTCTCTCATAATCATATAGTGGTTTTGGGACGTTAAACCCCACATATCAATCAATCATCAATCCTGCCAATCGGGCGCATGTCGAGGTGGTGGCGCCCTCTTTTGCGCTGGGCTTGAGACTTGAAGGAAGTATATACAGTAACTCTACGCAGTGCGAGTGCCAGCCGGGTGTTTTACTGGAGTTTTTCATTATTTTAATAAATTATCAGAAATGCCATTATTATTTTTTAGAATTTTTATACTTCATAATTTTGTATGTTATTTTTCGCAGATTCGGGGCATTGTTAGACAACTTTGAGGCCAGCAATGGCAGCTACATAAGCATAAGACGTGATGCAGTGGTAGGTCGACAGGCAATGTTCCCAGAGTACCTCGCACCTAAAAGATCAAAAGAGAGCAGAAAAAAAAAGCAGGTATGCGAATGTTCAGCATTGAAGGTGGTGCACCGCCAACTAAGCCGAGCGTGGCTTCCTGGCTAGGCTACGTTAGCTACATATCGATGGGGCAAAACCTCAAGAGCAACCTCGCATGTAACTTTACGAGCACTTTAGGTATCCCACGATGGTCAACCAATCTGGACTCTCCAAACATTCCGTGTAAAATAGCCAACTCGTGCTATTTCATTATCATCATCATAAGCGTGACTATGCCCACTGCAGGAAAAACGCCTCACTCATGTTCCATTAATCAACCTAGTCCTGTACATTCAATGGTGCCACGTGATACCTGCAAACTTTTAAAGTTCATCTGCCCATTTAATTTTTCGTCTCCCTTTCACGCGTAGGCATTTTTTTCGGGAGTTTTACGTGCATGATATTACTTCCACGCAAAACCCCCAAAATACTTATGCATGTAAAAGTTGGTGGTGTTTGCAGACAAGGACCGATTCCTGTTTAGACTCGTGGAAAAAACTGTTCACGCATGCTTTATTCAAAGCGTAGCAGTGCATTCACATTGTAAAAAATAATGGCCCTCTCATCGGCAGCTTCAATATACCAATGTCACAAAATATGAATAAGAACACCAACTTTATTGAATCATGTTTATTCCGAACAGCTTCTTTGCTTGATCTTCTTCACTGCGCCATGTCATTTCATTCTTTGATTTCTGATGAACTTATTCGCAAGCATTTTTCTTAGCCAGCTGTTTTTTCGCAGTGCCTGAAGTGAACCGCAACATATATTTCAATGAAGACTAATTCGCGTGTGTGCACACATTATGTAGCAGTCAGTTACTGTTCGTGAATACGCTGTAATAATTGCAGTTACAAAGTGCTTTGCAACAGAAGTTGTTTTATATTGCAATTCAGATGCCCTCGTTTGAAAATAACTAATTCTTTCTATCAGTTCTCACCTGCTTAAAATTGTTATCGAGTTTTCAAACAGCCTTCCGTTATCTTTTGGCTACCCTCATAAATGACCTCACGAATCTATTGAAAAATTCCGCATTAGAAAACTGGCCACGTCCCCTAACGATAAATACATGTGAATTTATATACTCCAATAGAGACATAAACAAACTATGACCCCATGAGTTTATTTTAGTATACGTTGATAGCTTTAGCACAGATACACTAAGTGTCCAGAATTTCTTGTATGTATTATTACAGAAAAATGGTCAACATAAATATTTCTATACATTATGGTAGTTCTCGAATGAAACACACAAAAGAAATGAGGAAAATATTGAGGATAAGTTCTTCATTTATGTTTTTGTTGAGAGGATGTGGTAGTCTAATTTAGCCACCATTAAGTGAAATAGTACGACAAACTAGACTTTTGAAAATTGTAAGAGCTCGTTTTTCTTGTCTTGTGTCGATGCAGCGACTCTTTCTATCGACAAAATAATTTCAAAAATAACGCTAGCATCTGTCATTTTCGATGCACAACGCTTAACCACTTCCAATTTAAGCAGTCGTCTGTCGCGTTACTAAATGCGGACATCCATAAACACATGTGTGTCACGTAATCTATTCGTTACTAGCCTTCTAATCACAAATGATCCGGAATGAATGAGGACGACCTATGCTTACCGAGCTTATTCTAGGTGCGTGTATTGATTTGGCCAGGGTAATATATGGTCCAACGTTTCCCCAAATGGGTTAGGATGAACTGGTTGTTTCTTTTTCGTCGGTTGGCAGAAAAGTTCCCGCACGTACGTTCGCCATGTCAGCCCCGGAAGTCATAATGCTCTCCTCGCCCTTTTAGGGCATAATTAAACGGGTGAAATGCTACTCAACAATTGTTGGAGTGAATGCTCCCGGCCTTCAAAACATCAAAGGTTTCACGCATACTTACGAAAACGTCAAATTCATGCTCTTGTAATCTCTGTAGGTGTAACTCTTGTACTTTTTCTGTCCAAATCTGCAACGACGTGGCAATGTGCATGATATATTTTGCATCAAAAGCGGTAAAAAGTTGATACAATTGTAAAATATGTCTCTTTTTTTATTTCTTTCGTTGCGATAATTGGTTCTTAACGAATGTGCTGATTTTACTTTGAATGTATTGTCATATTTTTCCCACATAGCACAAAAAGCACTACATTGTTTAGAAAATGTAATCAAGGCTTACAACTCTTCTGAATAGTTTTTTTTTTGGCATCCTTTCCGCACTTCATGGAGAATAATAATTTTTGCACCTGCTTCTAGTGATTATTCTGTTTTTGAATGTCCAGTAGAAGTAAGTGAGTTTGGTGTCCCAGAATCACGATATAGCTGAGGGATGTCGTAGTGAAGAGCTTAGGAAATTCCAATAGTTTTTTTCCGGCGTTCGGTCATTCGTGTATTGTTCTGCTCATCTATCTCTTCCTATAACCTATTCCCTTATCCCCTGTGCAGGGCAGCATACCGGACGCATGTCTGGGAAGATATTTTACAATGGGGCGTGCACAAATTCACAGCACAAGAAGGTATTTAAGAAATGACTGTTCTCTGGAAGCGTTTCTGCGTAGCAACCTGATTCGTTCGAGTGGCTTACGACCAAGAGTAACGTTATTTATGTCTTCAACGTCAAAACTTACATAATACAAATATGCTTCACTTACACCCAGGCAGTTGCTGCCACAGTATGTTCATGGCTTTCCATGGAGATATAATTTACAACGGCAGCGCTCCTCGTTTTATTGCAAAACGTATTGAAAGTAGCTTCATCTGTAAAACAATAATGAAGATGCTCTTAATTACTAGCTTTCTAAAGTCCGTCGCACTGCTGGAGCCTGGCTTGTCCTTCAGTACATGCCTACAACAAAGCAAGCACTGATCAAAACCTGTCCTGGCAGATGCACTCGCTACGATCCCAATGATGCCCACTCCGAATGGTATTGAACTAACTGGACTGCAGACCATAACCTGTACAGAAGGTTCTAGGACCTTGGAAAGTGCTTCGACAGCGGCGAAAGTACCGAAAGCGCTACTGAAGTACCTGAGCTTAAGGAATCTGAGCGACCACCTGTAGACTTTATGTCCTCCCCAAGGTGTGCTCGCGCTTCAATGTATATCATAAACATAAACTGCACTTCATAAACAACACCGGCTTAACAGCACACATTTAACAAACATTTTATGCCTTAAAGGCAAGTCTTTGTCACAATATTAATTTATGTATATTTCTTCCACCTATTTTGCTATCACTTCCCCCTCCCCCTTTATCTAAACTGGACGTGTCTATTGTAAACGCTAAAAACATTTGAGAAACCTGCAGCGGACTTTTCCACCACACCGGGTGTGTGATTCCTGCTCACACCAGCACATCACTAGCGGCCAATGAGCGCGCGCTGATTGGCAGTCGCTTTTATAGAAATAGCGTACGCGCCACTAAATCCTGATCTTAAGCCTCGGTGAACAGCAGCTGCTCGACAAGTGCGACAAGCTTAGTAACACTAGCCTGTGCCTCAAGATACGACTCGTTGACGAGCTGCAGAACGTGAAGCCCGGAATAATTAAAGCCAAGTCCACTGTGGCTCGTCAACACAAGCAAGCCAGTCCTGAGCTCAACACAAAGTAAACTAAAGTGGAACATTGGCATCACCAGACCAATTCAATCGTAGGGCGTGAGTAGTAGTTTTCAGAGAATATTCACAGAGTGAATGATGATAATGGGGCGAAGCGTCCCTCTATTCGTGTGTCCAACCATCCGTGCGTCCGTCTGTTCATTCATCCGTCCGTCCGTTCACGTGTCCATGCTTCTGTCTGTCCGTACGTCCATCTGTCCGGGCATGCTTCCCATCCATGCGTTCATCTGTCCTTGCTTGCGTCCGTCTGTCCATGCGTATGCGCTTCTGTACGTCCTTCTGTCTGTCCGTCCGTGCTGCTGTTCGTCCGTCTGTGCATTCATTCGTTCTTCTGTGCGTCCGTCTGTGCGTCCGTCTATCTGTCTGTCGGTCATTTCTTTTTTACCTGCAGGTGGTTTACTATAGTAAGAAAAACCCGTTTATAAATACCTATACCTGGTATTGGTATGAATTTATCTGTGCCGGTCATTTTGTCTTTTGGAGGCTTATTTCTGGGTTCTCTAGTGCGGCTGTCAAAGACTCTATGGAGAAACTAACTCGTTGACTAATTATACTTTATTATTATTCCAACGTTTCTACAACATAATATACTAATAAAAATTTGAGCATTGCTCTAATTTAAGGAAAAAGTCTGTTTTTTAAATAAATATATACATTGAATCAAGCACCATAATTTCCTATGTAATCTGTAATCTGTTCTTTTTTTATTATATAAACTTCATTATTCTAAAACTGTGTACTATATACCCCTGTGATGCATACCCCTACAGTAAGTATGGAATAGGTGAAAAAGAAACAAACAAGAACAAGCTATCCTGCTGATCAGCGGCAACCAACCATTCCTTGTCTTTTGCTTGCCAATTTATGGACTTCATAAGAAATAAACCCACATTAATTGTAACAGTTAAGGGGAGGGGCTTGGTGAGCGACGCCCTGAACAAAACTGTTGCAGACGGCCTTCGAGCAAGCCGGCGCCTAGTCAGACTACCTCCGTGGCACAGAGACATGACCAACGCCCGCGGAGGCATGCCGACCAGCAATGCAGCAGTCAACGTCACGGAACGAAGTAGTCACCGACCAAAACAACATATCTACTGGGCTCTTGAGCCACGCACATTCTCAGGTAAGACCAATGAAGACGTGGACGACCGGATAAAGCTCTACGAAATCGTGAGACGCTGTCACAAGTGGAGTTTGTCGCAAAGCTTGTCAACGTAGCATTCTTTCTAACCGGAACTACTGTGCGTTGGTTCGAGAACAATAAGCACGTACTGGCCACTTGGCCGACCTTTATTTGACAAACTGCGGGCCTGCTTTAGGTGGACAAGTTCGAAAAAAAAGGCCAAATAAACATGCACAGACCACAAGTGCCGGCAAAACGCTTGCGACGTACATAAGATTACTGAAGCTATGTGGCATTGTGAAAACCACTTTTTCGACAAATATAAAGTCGGCCATGTGCTGAAGGGCATCGCTGAAGATGTTATCAGCTTTTTGATTACAAAGTAAAACGTAAAAATAACTACTGAAGTTGGGCAGCACTGTGGAGCATTCAAAGCGTTGAAATCCCAAAGAATTTTCCTGAAGTTCTGGAGCATGGACAACATCACTACGGCTGCAAGTATGTACGTCGCCACCTGCGAAGACCTCCCTTTGATTATTTGTCGAGTAGTTCAAGAAGAGCTAGCACGGCTTCAAGGAGCAGAGGCTTCCCTAACTAACCCGAAACGTCATTGCCGTAGCTAAAATACTATTCCCGTTCTTGACGATGACAATGTGAACTGCGTCGCCATGGTTCGCTTGTCTACGAACACCATTGTCACTCCTCAGCGCAACACCATGGTGGCCCTTCACGCTCTGAGCTCTCCGAGCATCTTCTGGAGTAGGAACCAAAATGTGGCCAAATATGACATTAATAACAAGAACTTCCTTTTATCAGTCTTATGACCTATCAGTCTTGCTAGTGGTGTGTTGAATTCTTCTTCATTTTGTTCCGTTCATCTTCAGATATAACACCAGTACTTAGATCGATTTTGCTTGCTTCACATATTGGCCCCCCTTCGTGGTTAGCACTAACCGAGGCTCCTCCTCAGGGACATACTCTTGTGGTTTTCGGCCCCTTTTTCTGTTATTGAATGCTGGGAGGAATTGTCAACAGAGTATTTCAATTCCATGCCTTATAAAATATATTCTACCATATAAATACTGAACTGAAGTCAGCTTTTCAACTGTCCCATACTTTACTCAGTGATCTATTGTCACGTTGTAAGCATAAATTGCAAAATGAGTGCCATCTATCTGTTCTAATCCCTCTGCCACTTTTGACTTGCCCAGGTTGGAAAGTACAGGTGACAAGACCGACTCTTGTGGCGTTTTTTTGTCGCCGATATCCCTTTTTTTTTCAATGTATTTCCCTGAATTCAAGGTGCGCTGAGCGATCACTGAGAATAAATTTGACGACTACATAAAGTTTTCTGCCCAATCTCAGTTTTGGAATATTGTAAGTATTGCGGTGTGATTAATTCTGTCAACAGCCTTTTACATCAAACACCAAGAGAGCTCTAGTGTTCCATGAGTTAGCTAAAAGTAGGTTATGTTTGACGAGCCACATAGCATCTTTTGTGGACATGCCTGGTCTGAAACTAATAAGACAATGCGGTAGGATGTTATTGTTCTCCGTATATTTTGTGAACCTGTTCAACATGCTACACTCCATTCTCTTCTCTGTATATGATGTCAACGCAATATGCCTCAAGCTGTACAAGGCGAGTCACTTGCCGAGCTTTGGTGTTAAGATATTACTGGCCATTTTCCAGCGTTCTGGATAAACCCCAAATGATCGACTCATTTCGCCAGAAATTATAAGACGTTGTTTAGGTTTTTAAGCAATCTGTTCGAGATAAATTCTAGGCCAGCTGCTGACCTACTATTCAAGTCATGCAATGCCTGCGCACCTCACTTTTGGTGAATTCCTGGTCCATGAAGTTTCATTCTGCTCCTCAGCATCCAGAGTAACTAACTTTTTGGTCCTCTTTTCTCAAGGGCATGTATTCATCTGTCAATTGCCCTATTGTGGTATCTACGCTTGCAGTCTGACTTTCCCGGTGTACCAGTTTCTCCAACGCCGCATGTCTATTACATTCAGTGTTTTTTTTTATTAAGCAGATGTCTAAGCGGATCCAATTTGCCTCCTCGCCTCATCCTTTCTTCTACAAAGCTACATACATCATTCTATTGTTTCTTTTCTGCAAATACCATGCGTGCTCCTCGAAATCCTTATTGAACTTAATCATTCGCTTCCGAAAACTTCTGTTCAATCTTTGCAATTTTCAACTCTGTAAAAGTAAATATTTGACTTCCAATAAATGAGCCAATCTACTGTTCATATGTTTGAGCTCTTACTTTCATAGATGTGATAACTACTTCGGCGGTTGAATTCCGTGGACGCAGTGATCTACACGACTGTTTATGAAAAAAAATAATGTCGTAGACCTCATTGCACCCATATTCACAAACGTGAACCACATCAGTTTCTCAGTAGAAAAATTGCTCTATGTACCAAAAAATTGTCTTGCGCTAGAGCTCCTACCCTGGATAACGGCTTTATGTGCAGTTGCTCTGCTGTCCAGAAGGCTTAACTGCATCACAGTGAGATCAAATCATTTGACTAAGCCATATAATTGTGGCCTGGTGCCTTTCTTGACTTTTTTTGTCTCACATAACATCGCTTATTAAGAGATTGCAATGCATGCAGAATAATCAAATTGTCAAAGAGCTTCTCTTGCTAACATTAACGAAGTATTTAAGGGTTCCGATGTATTTCTCAAAGTAAATAAAAAAGTGATTTATATAAAGTGTTTGCCAATTCTGTTTGCTGTTTACACCAAATGATTTGCTGGTATTCAGAGCTAGTGGTAATTGTGAGCGCTTCAGAAAAAGGCAGCTATTCTTGGTTGGAGACATCTCACAAGTTACTCGATTTCAATTTTTTAACATTATCTTACAGTCAACTACGTCGCCAGGCAGGTCAGCTCTCCATCTTCCTTCGTACAATGGCCGCCTAAAACAAGAAAATTGTATGTGAATTTAGTGAAAGTTTTCGTCTATATTCATTATGTCAAAAACTTGCGCTCATATTTAGGTCGACACATGTCAATCACGCAAGTAAATTTCGCAGCAATAACTATTCCTTCATGTAGAGGCATGGAAAGCGCCTAAATTCATGGATCTGACCCTCAAGCTCAGCCAATATCGTGTCTTGCGTGCATGCCAAGTATCTTAAATATCGCTTAAAAAACTACGCGGTGTCCTAGCTCATCTGCTTGCGCCGATGTTACCGCGCTGACATAGGCGTACGCATGAGGGGGCAGAGGGGGGGGACTGCCCCCCCCCCTTAGTCACCTAAAAAGGGGGCTGTAAAATCTGTCGTATACATTGACCTAATAGGAATGGGGGGTGCATAAAGTCTGTCCCATACATTTAAGTATCAGAAAGAGGGGGCGCTGTGATGAACCTTCGCCCATCGTGAAGAAGAATCCTGCGCGCGCCTATGCGCATCGACATTTTCAAGATGGCTACTCATCCTTATTGCTTCGCGCCCTAGTTTGCAGTCAATCAGGGTTCCCAGCTGAGACTGTTTCATGGCAGCATTCTATAACTACATACATAACATACAACTTACTTCTTTTTATTACAAGAAATAAAAGCTCATAATTGTTCAAGTCAGTCACACGCCAGCGCACTTAGGACACATATGTCACGAGTGCCAGGTGTTGAAGCATCATCCTGTCCACTTCGTTCACTACATTGCTGAGCAGAACTACTTCAGTGTGGGGCGACCTAGTGAAAATGTTCCTCGTAGTTCAGCCTTACTGGGGGCGCAGGGTGTCTGGCTGATCTGCGTTCTTTCACCACGTCCGGTGGTGTTGACTGTGCGGCTGAGGGTTGTTGAGACTGAGACTGTAAATGGTTGGTTTCGCTGAGCAGTGGGGCTTCGCCGGTAACAGTGTTCCATTCTCGTGAGTTCCGATTCCATGCTTCCATACTTCTTTCTGATTCCACGCTTCTAAAACTGTTCATTGTGTTACGCCAGCTGTAGGTAAACATGGGTTCGTACTACTTCTCGGTTGTCAGTAGGTGCTGTCTGTTTCTATGGAATCTTCCATGACCACAGGGCATAACCCTGATGTCCTACGCTGCTGTGCTTGAGCTTCGATTCTAAACCCGTCGTCCTCGCGAGCATGTACTATGTTCTCCTTCTTCAACAGCGGGAGCACAGCTCCTCGCTTTGGTTCTTTACATTTCCGCACTTCTTAAGGATCATCGGCCGAAGAGTCCAGTATCCGCGTGCTCATGCGGTGTCCCACAAAAGGCTAACTGTGGTACCTTTTACCTTCAGGTGGAGAGGCTCTGTAGTTTGACAGAGACAACCAGAAGCTTCCTTTTCAACTCGTCGCCTTTTGTAGCAACTGCTTAGCAATGGGCACACCATTTTCAGCTGGGCTATTCGACCGAGCAAATCGTACATGGGAGGTTGTGGGATTGAATTCAACGACGTTGGCAAATTGTCTGAAGTCGTAGCAAGCAAAGTGTGGAACATTATCAGTAACAACCTCTGATAAGACGCGGTGTCCACTGAGCATGGTTCGGACACATCAAGAACTTCACGGCCATTAGTGTTTCACAGTCGCTCAATTTTTAGAAGTTTTGAGAATACGTCTTATGCAACCAGGTGTTTCTGCTTGTTTAATTGGCCGAAGGTTTCTCCTACCCGGTTCCATAGCTATACCAGCACTTTGTGGGTTATGAAGGGCTCACTTTCGTCTGCAGCTTCATACCTCTTGATCAATCAAAGATGGCCAAGGGTAGTGGTTTAGTCAAAAATACTTGGGTCCTCACCATTATTTCTCGAAAGGCACTTATTACTCGAAGAAACTATTGCGCTTCGTCAGCGAACGCAGTAACAAAGTGTTAGAAGACTATAGTGCGTCTCACCACCTGGAACCAATCCACCAATTCTAGAAGTCTGAGGAGAGCTGTCTTGTTTTTTTTTTTTGGCTGTTGAAATACCCTCACCACTGCCGCGAGTAAATAGGGTGGCCGAGTTCCACTTGTACTAACCACTTCACCTAGAAATACAATATTTTGTAGACTAAGCTAGTACTTTTTGAAATTCAACGTTCCATTCTTGTGCTTCAGGTGCGCTATGACAGCATGAAGTCACTGACCCCGCCCTTGCTTAGTATGTGAAGAAACGTAATTAGCTCCACTGTAGCGAGAGAGCATAGCTAGTGGTAGTGACATCGTATGTGTTCGTATGGTTTCTGGAGGCCCAAGTGTCCAGGAGTCATGTCATCATATGCTTACAGGACTTGAGCATGAAAGAGCAACGTAGAATGGGCCTCCAGTATTGTTTGTTAGGGTGGAATATATGGCGGTATACAGGACCAGTTGTCGAGCTTGAACTGCGTAAGCTGTCCACGAACACGGGCGTTAGGTGTCTGCGAACTGTCGTCAAAGCAGTTCATGTAATGACGATAGTGAAGAGCAACGCATCCGTGGTATGAAAATGAACCACGCTCGTTCGAGGCAGTCGGATCCAGAGCACGTAAGAATGAAATGTGTGCAGGAGGAAACTCCGAGAGCTCGTCACGCACCATTGAGGTAGTACCGTTATATGATTCGGAAAGAAGCGGGCGGCGCGAAAGCAGGTTAGTGTCGTGGTCTGTTTTTTTTTTCCTCGATTTATACGTTATATTCAACACACATTCTTGGAAACGATAAATCAAGTGACCAAGGCCCCCATGCAAGTTCTTTGGTGTCGAGAGCCAGCACATCGCGTGATTGTCCGTAATCACCACAAAATGGCGGCCGTGAAGATAAGGTCGAACTTTTGTACAGAACAAACGACGGCTAGGCACTCCTTGGTGCTGGTATAGTTCTTTTTGGCTGGTGTCAGTACACAGCTTGCGTATACGACGACCCTCTGACGTGAAGACTTGGGTCACTTAGGGATGATACCACCAATGTCATGACCACTAGGGTTCATATGCAGGGGTGTTGGTGCGTCTTCATCGAAAGGGTGAAGAACTGATCTGGACGTGAGAGCGCGCTTCTATTCGGCAAATGCCTATTCACGTTCACGAGACCACGTAAAGGGAGTGCTTGATCCAAACAACTTGGGCAAAGGCAAATGTATTCACGCGAAGTCTCCAATAAATCGGCAGAAATAGGATGCCAGGCTGAGAAAACTACGCATATCTTTGACCTTTTCAGAACGCAGGAAGTATTGGACAGAAAATTTTATCAGGATCAGGACGAAAGCCTTCCTTGCTTGAAATGTTCCCGCACACTTTAGTTATTGCTCTCACAAAAGGATGCTTCTTGGTGTTCAGATGAAGGCCTGCACTGGCAAGAAACGTGGAAACTTCGTCCAGAAGTTGAAAGCTCTCTCAGAAGGTTGACGAAGAATTGAATGATGGCGTTCAAATAGCACAAGCAATTCTTTTATTTTGGGCCTCGTAAAATGGGGTTAAATATACCCTCGAATGTTACTGGAGCATCGCAAAGGGTGAATGGTAAGATGTTGAATTGATAAAACCTGCCTGGTGCAAAAAGCATAAAAAAAGGAGGACCAATAGCGAGCTCAAGAAATCAGGAGGTCCAAGCCAGTTGATGCCAGCCCGGATGGTGATACATAAGAGAGTGGAGCGAAGATCATGGGAAGAAATAACAAGGAAGATGGAGCACTCAGCATGAAAGATAGAAGATTGAAGCCAAGATAAAGAAAAAACGAGCGAAAAATTTCTACTTGTAATTCAAGAAATTTTGAGTCAGTACTGAGTCCGAATATTTGTGTATTAGGTTAAATTGTTTCGCAAAGTACTTTGGTGAGCCTTTGCACGTTCTCATGGAGGTGGTTGGCAATTGTGGTGGTACTTTCTGCTTAACTTCTTTTGTTTTCTTTCTCTTTCTTTTCTTCTACAAATTTACATTTCACACTTGTCCTATTCATTTTTTTAATTCGGTAGCCCACAAGACTTTGTGCAGCAGGCAAGTCATTGTTTTCATTACTTTAGCATTAAATTTTGGCCACACAAATTTATATGTCTCTGTCTATTCTTTACCACTCTCATGCATTGGTATCTGCCCATATTCCAAGGGCAGCCCTAGAGTTGGGGAGTACTCGGTAGATCGTTGCGTATTCAAAACCTAGTCTAAGCGCCATATTGTGTAGACATGCTCGCAGGGAATCTTATTAGGTGCCCGGTAGTGTACTCAAAATTGCACAGAACTATCTTCTTTCTCACCAAAACAACAGAGGACAACCAAGTACTCATGGAGGGACGTATGATCTCCCGTTGCAGAATTTCGGCAACATTTTCTTAAATGACGTTCTGCTCAGATGGCAAGACAATACATGATTGATAGTGTACGACGAAAGTGCCGTTGGCCTGAATCAGATACACGATAATAGACGAAGCAGCTCATGTCACCATGAAGAAATCATGTCGCGACCTCTCTCGAGATAGCCGTACCAAGGCAAAAAATACAAGACGGACGTCCAACGAAAGGAACTTCGCGCAACGTCAGCACGACAGAAACAACAGTGAAAATCTGTGAAGCACGCAATCACACTGCCTTCCCGTAACTACAAGCGTTGATGGAAGGCGCGAGCCAAAAGCGAGGAACGGTCGACGTAGGTATCACTCGTTTTACAGCAGGCAGAAGCAGCGTTGTCAGGTTACCTTTGTTTCCTATGCGAAAAAATGGTTTGTAAAGTATCTGGTAGATTTCCAGTTCTTTTTAACGACAATATAAAAAAACTATTTGCCTACATTGTCTTTTTTCCAGCTGTGCTGAATATTTCTGTTACGCTCTTCTAGCTGCGGGGCCCTCTCTAGGCAGCGTTTTACCAAAATACCTTTTAGGAGCTTGCTCTTTTTGCTGATGGGCTGTCTCTCATCGTTGCGCTGGTGTGTACGCTATTACTTATTGCTCCCGCTAGAGGCGCAGCTGTGCTCTTCGTTTCAAGAGCGCTCACTACATGGCGCGCCACCGCTGAGGCAACACTCGCTCCACTCCTGGCGCGTGCTTTAGTTTGATACGAGAGCGCTAGGTGACCGCGCCAATATATACTGCTTGCTTTTGGCGCGCTCCCTTTTTCTTTCGCCGAACATCTGTCAGCGCGCCTCGATACCGCTAGCCATTATGAACAACGCAGAAGCGAAGGTGGTAGCGCGAAGGGCTCGCAATGCGGCTGCAGCGCGGGCTCGCCGTTAGGACCCTTCTCTAACTTTCCACTGCATCCTATAATTCAAGATATTATGGCTTTGTACTTTACGCATCACAAAATCATTATACTAAAGAGAAAACGTTACCCCGAGCTTATGTGATCCATAAATAAGCTCTTGAACAAAATGTATATACTTCACCAGCATGTGTATATTTGTATATAGTACATTGATATGTAAATAATAAACGTGTATATAACATGTATATAAAATCACACCACAAGAACTCTCGTTTATTGTCTTTATATGCTGATGATTGAACATATGTACAGAGGATTCACGGTTTACCTGATTTAACCTCTGGAGAAAGCTCCTTAATCATCATTTACTTCGCGGGGGCACGTTAAAGAACACCAGGTGGTCGAAATTTACGGAACCCTCCAGTACGGCGTCTCTCATAATCATGTGGTAGTTTTGGGGCGTTAAACCCCACATATCATTCAGTCATTCACTTCGCGGATATGCGGGATTTTTTTTCCGGACTAGAGCTTCATTGGGGTATTTCGAGTGAACTTAGGTGTGCCTTTACCATGTAGCAAGGAGGTAAAAACCCCTCTACCTTGATCCCCATCATTTCAGACATGGTACGCTAGCATACCTCTTCTCTTTTCTTTCATGTCGTAGCCAAGAGCCTGTGTCATGTTTCTGCTATTAGTCCTATTTTTTTACAGCAGTACCATTTATATGGATTTTCAGGCGCATTTCAATTATCACCGTCATCATCACTTGAGGTTACGCATGAAGTCCGAATTAGTAACATCACTCCGCACAATCTTTGTTCGACATACGAGTGAAATTTTGCGAGGCCAGCTGACGCAAGCGGCCCAAGCAGAGAGAAAACACGCCAGCCCCCTTTCGTTGCACGAAAAGTACACGCACGCACCCCAAATGGTATTGATCTCGCATAAACTGCCTACTTTCAACTGCTACGCTTTCTCACACGCGCCTTCACTTAACAAGAATCAGCAGGTGGGGCTCATACCCTTGTACATGCTTTCTTCTCAAAGCTTAGTTCACGTTGAAGTGATAGACAGCAGGATGGTCGCTTTTCTCACTACAGCAGCCACGTTTTCTTTATATACGCTATACGAGATCTGAAGAATTCAGCTACTTGTCTCACTCAGTATAACGTTCAGATTCGCTGTGGCATGGAAGGCATCACCCATCCTGCGAAGCAATGACTTTTCCGGCTGCTCTAACATTTCCTCTCGACGCAGTAACAATGGCGGTACTTAACCAACTGCAATGAATGACAAAACAAAGCTCCTAGCCATGACCGGAAAGTTTTCAAGCAGTGTGTGCCCACCTGACTCTGACTAAGATGGCTTAAAGGAGAGCCTTCGCTCAAGTTCTCGGAAGAGTAGTTGGCTTCTCCCTTTCATGTTGCGACTATTTATGAGCCCTGGAGTGGACCTCACAGGCTCAATTACCATCGCGCTCTCTGCCTCTAGCACTTGCTACTTAGCAGCGCTCAACGTCGCCCTGAATCAATCTTCCTTGCAACTTGGCAGATGCCAACGATAGTGCCTTTGTTTTTGCGTATTCGCTAATTTCATATAAAGTTAGTTTTGTCAGATTCTTCCAGCACTCAATTCAACATTCTGCTTTCCGGAGGAGGAAACATTTATTGGGTTCAAATGTATAAAAACAGTAATGCGAGCTTACGCTCTACAATGGGCGATGACGTTCAAAAGACAATCACTTTGCCTTTTTTTTTCTGATTGGTAAACGGAACCCGAAAACGTAATGAGAGCTACTAAACACAGACTTAAGGGAGACGACAACACAATGCACTGCGCATTGCAACATTGGCGCATTGTGTGGCTATATCCCTTATGTGCCTGATTATGTTTGGAGTACAATTAACGCTTGAACGCACGTTCCTCGCAATCAAGAGGTAATGTTCACATTATTTGTAGCATGCTCTCGATTGCGTTTGATTCACGATGCGTACTTCACCTAATATTGTATGCATGAATTGTACTTACGATGTAAAAAAATAGGTGATAGAGTCATTTCTCAACGGCTGCGGCTCGCTTTCTATCACTTTCTGAAGCGTCTCAATCGCAATTATGTATCCGTGGAAATAACTCTGAACAACAAGCTCATCTCTCTGCAACAGAGACAGATTATACTCAACTAGATTTGTGTCAAGGAGTTTGCCTTCATATAGATGTCCACGCAAACGTGCAGAAGGCAAAAAGACTGAGAAGATGCACTAGCGTTTCTTTTTTCGGAGCGGCAATATGTCATTGCTACTTAACACTTTATAATAGTCAGACCTTGCTTACTGATGCCTATAGGGTGTCAAAAGCCGAACAAAAGTGAGTTGAAGCATGTTTTCGCATCTATATTATAATAGTCCAAGTGATTAAGGAGAGTGTTGGGTGAATTAGTGCAAGTTTATCAATAAAAGTTAACAAATCAGTGTTTATGTAGTAAAAGTAAATTGCTATAAATCGATAATAGGATAATAATTAAAAACTTAACTGCGAACAAACCTATAGAAAACTTAACTAGTGACAGCTGGTTAGTAAACGTCGGAAGTTGATGTAAAGTACGCGGTATGGAATAGCCTGACTGTTTTGTTTTTGCCTTGGAGTCATCTCAGGCCAATGCACTAGAGATCATACGTATTCGGTGTTCCCGTACCACGTAAGCGTTGAGCGATCATGAAAACCGAATATGAGAAACATCAAGGACTCATCACCTAGCAGTTGTGTTACCCGTACCCTTTTGTACGGCACGCGAAAAGACTAATATTTATGAGCCTTCCTTATTTCGGACTTTCAGTTTCCCCCTTTTTTTCTATCTTTGTTAGCGCCGTTAATGTTGACACATCGCTAGGTGTTGAAAATTGCGCTTCATATTTAGTACTGAACCACGCATTGTGCTGAAGAAGCAGTTGATTAATAAAGCGGCTGTATTTGATTTTGTAAGTTCACATACGCACCTCCTTTACGCTTTCGACTGTGAAGTTGACCATGACAAATTCCCTGTGGAAATGATCTTGAACCTGGAGAGTTGGAAAAATCTGAAGTGATCATTTCTAAACCAACATTCAAAGGCATTTTCATCACTATTACTTCAAGTAATCTGAAATATAAGGAACGGCGGCCATTTCGCAAAAACCTTCAGTGTGAAGCGTGAAAACTTGGCAAGTTGGTTGGATATAACTGATTGTACGAACAGTGCAACCTAGAAGTAGTTACAACGTAACTACGGAAGCGAAAAACAACGACAGAAAAGAGCACTGGCTTTCAATTGATCTAATAGCGGAGTGGTGTACATGTATAGGTGAAAAAACGAGAGAATGGGCATGCATAGAAGGGTATATATATACAACACTCTGCTGTGAAATAATTGTTGAAAGTCAGCGCTCTTTCCTATCCTTGTTTTTTCACTTCCCTACTTTCGTTGTAACTATACGTCCAGGTGGCGCTGTTCGTATATTCTGTTATGACCTGCAGTGTAATGTAAAAAAAAACTTTCACGATTTTTTCTATCACCACTTATAAATATTTCCGCCGGGATGTAGGCGTTTTCAACTCCTTTTAAAATTGCGCGAGGCCCATTTTAAAAATCAATACACCCATCTTGGGTGTAGTGAAGAAGATTTCGGTCTCCTAAAATGTGTGGGTATCGCCCATCAGGCCCGCCTAAACATAACAGATCGTGTACTGCAAGCGCTGAAGTAAATGCTTGATCTCCGATCACCACCATGTAACATTGACGCTCACTATCTCCAAGGCCGGTAACAGGTTTGTGTGAAAGACTTGGCGCGCTAATTTGGGTCTCAGCGAGGCGTTTTTTACGTGGGTGTGGCCAAACCATCATCACACGGTAATTATACGACGGCTGTGGCTCACCAGAATGCCAGTCTTCAGAGTCCATTATCTCTCCTTCAGAGTGCATTGACACTGAAGGACAGTCAATGGGCTCACCTTCAGAGCTCCAAATTTAATATGAGCGGAAAAAGTAGCAGTAGCTAGCAGCCTCCCATCCCAGTTGCAATATAGTTATCATGAACTAGCCTTAGGTCCAGTTACAATGCATGCTGGAGGAGGTACCATTTCTCACCCGCAAAAGTCAGAGAAAATGCCGGAAAAATGAATGATCGCACCCGGTTCAAACACATTATCTCGACTCCAGGGTACCTGGGTTGGCAGGGTAATGAGACTGCAGAGCTAACGACCCTCGCACCCGTCTCCCGAGTGTCTCGTTCCCCATTTCTTGCGGACTCGAAGGCCAGGACGCCACTACTGACCTTTAAACAATTCTACTCAATTTTCGAGAGTGCCAGTGATCTACCCAGACCCTGTTAGGGTTGTTCGTGGGGAACATGAGTGATGAATTGTCCATAGGCTATGAATCAATGCTCTACTGTGCCTAACAATAGTTTGTTTCGGAGATTCTAACTCAGACGGGAAGCTCCCACACTGGTGGAGACGTCAGTGTTTTTCACGTGTGGGCATGCACCCGATACCCCTGTCTCACACTGTCCTCATCCCCCACGCGAAAAGCATGGAGGAACAAGGTCCCTAACTAATCTAGGCTGAAAGCTCACGAGTCTATGGTCCAACGGGCAATATTGGCGGCTAAGCTTTCCAGTGTTCCTAACAGAGGACACAGCTCATCAAGGGCCACGAACATAGGTCAGAAAAATTTGTGGAGCTCCCTCAGACTCACTCACGAAATACACTTTCAGCTTAGACCTCACTCGGACTCAGACTCACGAAAACTTTCCCGAGCCGAACCCACTCGTACTCACACTCACGAAATGTTTCCCTAGCCGGACTCACTCGTACTCAAAATCACCAAAGCATTACTCACTTAGATTCAGACTCACGGCACGATCTTAGTCTGGGTGAGTCGACTCACTCAGACCTACTCAAATAAATCGATCTTTAAGACCAGCAAAACAGCCTTTAAAAAAGAAACAACGAACTTGCTGCTAACCGCTGGTACACGGTATAAAAACTAATAGGTGGAGTGTCATGCCTCGACAAATCCTGAAATTATTCATTAATTTTGACTGTAGTATTGTACAGTTTAATCTCGACGTATCCGTATGTACTTTGGGTTCCTTTGGGTTTAATTTTTTTTGTCAAGTTCACTTGGTTATGTATCCCCACGTGAGTGACGTCTAACTTTGTAAATGTCTATGTATACTTTTTATCTTTGTTTTTTTTGTGAATTCAACATGTGCAAATGCAAGCTACTTGTATTCAATTTCTACGTAACCAATGTATTGATTTTTGTCTGCTTCTGTCTGTGCTAATATC